GTTACATCCTCGTATGTAATAAGAAGCAACGAGGAAGATCCTTTCTTGGAAGGGAACAAACTTTACATTCTGAATTCTGTACACAAGACAATATCTAATCTTGAAAGGGTAGCCTGTAAGATAGGAGCATCTACTGATGCCATCAGGAAGTTCAAAATACGATTTTTGTTACTTGGTAAGGCATACTTGGTAAGGATTTTCATATAGGCTACAAACGCAAAGATGTGCAACTGTGGCTTTTAGTTTCGTGGGGTTTTGTTGTTGTTGTTAGTTTTTTTTTTTTTTTTTTAAGCTTGTTTGTTTGTTTTCCATCAGGGTAATACTGAAATAGGAGTTTTCTAAGTGAAGAGAACTGATCTATAAAATTCCATTTCATCAAGGTCTGTTTTATGCTTGTGTAGTGGCACTTCAACCTTGTGGAGGAGATGTATTTTTCTTCTTTTTAGCACCTGTCAAACAAATGACTGGTTGATCTTGTCATGAATTCTTAGTGAGAGGAAAATTGCTTGGTACAGCATTTTCATTGTGGTATGATGAAATCCTGCTCGATGTTTTTTCCCTTAAGTGCTTTTAGTAAACAGAGCTTAAAGTTTTGAGAGCTGGTTCATTGGTAAATATAGTTAGAGTGGTTCTCTTGATTTATTTTCTATCATCATTTCATTCATTGCAAATGAAAAAGGGTAAGGTGGGGAGAGGAAGGCTCAGCTTGGCTTCCTCATTGCTTTTCTGCGTAGCCAGTGAACTGATAATACTAGATAATTTCCTTGGTTTGACTTTATGTCTTACTACTATTCCAGAACTATCAAGGCATATTTTATCATGAGAAAGGACGTAAAACTGAAACAAAACCATCCAAATCTGAAGATAAACAGTGCTTTATTATTCCATGAATCTTAATAATCAGTGAATGATTTTTGACTGATTAAATATGACTGCCTTGCTTTGATTTCAAAGTGAGTGACGGGTGTTTTTGTCAAACATGAGGAATGTTAATATTTATGGCAAAACCATGTTAAAATAAATTGTCTTTAAACTGACAAGATTATTATTAGGTTTATACTCTAGTCTGCTTTTATTTTTTGGCTGTAAATTGATGTCCTACCTGATTATTTCACCAGTGTGTACAACTGTCCTTATGTTATGAATAATGTTGTGTTTTTTAGGTTTCATCATCCAATCCTCAGTCCCCTTGAAAGCAGTTTCCAGCTGGAGGTGGATGTGCTTGCACACCTCTTAAAGGCTCAGGCTCAGATCTCAGAGTGGAAGTTCCTTCCATCCCTGGTCAACTTGCACAGTGCTCACACAAAGCTACAGACTTGGGGCCAAATCTTTGAGAAGCAGCGAGAGACCAAGAAGCACCTGTTTGGAGGGCAGTCTCAGAAGGCTGTGCAGCCTCCGCACCTCTTCCTCTGGCTCATGAAACTCAAGAACATTCTCCTTGCAAAGTTCAGCTTCTACTTTCACGAGGCCCTCAGCCGACAAACAACAGCATCCGAAATGAAAACCTTGACTGCTAAAACCAATCCTGATTACTTTGGGAAAATTTCGAGTTTTATCCGGAAATACGACGCCGTCAACGTTTCCCTCATCTTCGACAATCGCGGCTCCGAGAGTTTTCAGGGCCACGGTTATCACCACCCCCATTCCTACCGGGAGGCCCCCAAAGGAGTGGATCAGTACCCTGCCGTGGTGTCTCTGCCCAGTGACAGGCCTGTCATGCACTGGCCCAACGTCATCATGATTATGACTGACAGAACCTCTGACCTCAACAGCCTGGAGAAGGTTGTTCACTTCTATGATGACAAAGTCCAAAGCACCTACTTTCTGACTCGTCCGGAACCTCATTTTACCATTGTAGTTATTTTTGAGTCTAAGAAGTCAGAGAGGGACTCTCATTTTATTTCTTTTCTCAATGAAATCTCACATTCCCTAAAGAACTCCAAAGCTTTTGCCAGCTTGAAGCCTGGATCCAAAGGGTAAAATACAGACTACTTGCAAGTTGTCAAGGCAGTGTGCTGGCCTTGGGGGAGCTGTAGTTCTCAAAGATTATATAATTCTCAGAGTCTAATTAAAAAGGAACTGTTATTTTTAATATGCTTTAAGTTCCTTTTTTGTTTTTTTTTAAGCTAACAAGAAACTTGAAAAATTATTTTTGGGCACTGGTTGGTGGGACAACTTAGTTGTGGAGTGCTAAATAACCACAGTGGTTTTCAATTTACCATATGAATATTTTTCAGTCCAAAACTACTTTGCCCATATCAAAATGAAATATATGCACTTTATCGTAATCTACTCATTGACTCTTTTACAGAGTTGATTGAAAATGTGATTAGGATGGAAGATTCTATCTTTCAGAAAACTATATTGCTTGAGGGGATTTATATGTGGGAACTATGTGCTGATACAAGGGAATATTAAAATATACAAACTTGTAAAAACACTTGAAAAATTAAAAACATGCATCACAGAAACCACTCTTAATTATAATTTAGTTTTCAAATGCTTTAAAATGATTATTGAGATCTCTGACACTTCCTATTAAACAAGTCTTTACTATGAGCAAGGTGTAAAGTATAAAGTTCTGTTGTTGCTCCAAAACATAAATTCGTGCAGGTCAAGCAGACGCGTGGGTTGGAGACACAGCGGTCACAGGAGTGTTGTAGCACTGTGTCTGCTGCTGATCTTGGCTTCAGTTAAATTGAAGGAGGCAAACTGAGGTTGAGCAGGTGTCTTAGAAGGAACAGAACAGTGGAGAAAACAACAAAGCTCTTTCAAATTGTGCTTTTGTCTCTCTGCATTTTGCAAATCAGTAGGAAGCGTACTTTGTAGGTAAGGTATTCTGTAACTTGTGGTTATGGTAAACCCAAATTTGTTTTCAGATTTTTTTAACGTGTATTTTTTTTTCCATGTTCAGTTTCTGAAAAAACTTTACAATCAAGCCAAATTACTTGCAGAATTTGGATTTAAATACTTATCTTGCCTATGCAATGTATTTACCTCATTCCAAAATTTCTGTCTCTCACTACTTGTAGATTCGGGTTTGGATAAAGTACAATTTCGGGTTACTTGGAAAGCCCTTTATTTATTATGGAAATAATTACTTGCAGTTCCAGCACAGAGCTCAGTTTGGCTGTGCTGTAGCCCCACACTTTGGTGCAGCATCAGCTGTGCCGCTCACAGGCCCTTTGTGGGGATTCGGGAGGGACTGACGTGGGTCCTACATGATGCGTAGCCTCTTTGTTGACACCCTCTAAGGTGTGACAACAACAGATTTATTTTAAAACTTAAATTTGTAAGTGGACAAATTGGAGTCCCTTCCACTAAGATTTTTAAATGCAAACAGATGTTTGGAACAGAAAGGGCTTTCCTCGCTGAGCTTCCTCCCCCGCCGGAGGCCGCGGTAACTCGTGTCGCCCCGTGATGCAGTGTCCATCTCTGTACGATCCTGGGGGCAGAGGGACGGCCCTGTGCTCGCCCAGAGCACGAGCTCCCCGCGGCGCCTGTGCCCGGCAGGACCCCCCGTGCCTCCCGCCAGCTCTGCCGTGGTCTGCTGCGAGTGTGTCTGCCGCTTCCTTCGCTCTGGAGACTTAATCCAACAGCAGTGTCACGCTTAAAACCTTCGAGACTGTTCTTTACCATTGGGAAATAGTAGGAGCTGCAAATCCGCCAGGGGCTGGGCAGCACCTGAGTGTGCCCGGGTCACCCTCACAGCTTATGTTGCCCTTTTGACGGGACAGAAGGCTGCGAGTGACAGGATGGAGAGTTTGTATGTTTTGCCGCTCCGGGACAGTGACCTTGTAACAACATTGTGCTCTTGGCCTCCTCAGCCTGAGTAACAGAAACGAGGCTGTTCCTGGAGCTGATTCCCAGTCTTCAGCAGTGTAATAAAGTGTTGCACAAGCCCTGTCTGCTTCTGCAGTGTTTTCCTGTGCCCTTGATCATTTTGTATCGCGCGGCGCGGGCAGCCCGTCGCTTCCCCTGCAGCCTCTACATCCACATCAGGCAAACGCAGCCGCTGTCCCCCGGCGTGTGGCGAGAAGGAGGCGGCGAGCGTTGCACGCGG